AGGTAGCAATCCGCCACCTCGACCTCCGGGGCGAGAAAGCCCCGTTCGTAAGTGCGGATCCGACGTAAGTCGGGGACTGCCTGTATTCCAGTATCTATTTCTGACATTATAAAACTACTCCTGAGCTGATTTGTAATTAAGCAACATTAAATTATAATTAGAATCTGTCAAATTCAGTATATGAACTAATGCTAATCAAATCTCATGTCCAATGGTCTCTGTAAGAATCAGTTCATACAGGAACAACTCTCCCACCTCCTGAACAGCATTGCTCTGTTGTCTAAAACATTGTGGATGTTCTTCCCTCTCTCATACTCACTTGACAGGAGTGGGAAACATTTTTGGGAACTTTCTATGGGTCAACTTTTTTTGACCCACAGAAAAACCAGTCCTGGGTTGCATACGAGGAGAAAGTAAAAAACAAAAACATCCCAACAAACAAGGGGGCCCAGACTAGTAGATTGTGTACTCCAGCCCCCTGGAGGTCGGGGAGGGGGCTGGAGTGCTAGCAAAGGGTCCCCAATGGTGGGTGAAGAGTGCTGAGCCTCAGGGGGGTTGGATCCAGGCAAGCTGGGGGCCAGATCTGGGGTTCCCCACCCGTGGACTAGATCTTGGACCCTGACAAAGGCAAACTAGATCCCGGGGAACAGAAAATCATACCTGGTTTGGTAAATACCAAACTGATACACCTTTCTGTCTTTATTAAAATGGTTACATTTCATACAAAATTGGGTTAAACCAAAAATAGTTCCAGAAAAAACTTACTACAGCATTTTAAAGTGAATAGTTTTCAGATAAGTTCAAAAACAAGTGTTTTGTTCTGAGTCTAAATCCACTCAAATTCAAGGGCAGACCTCCCATCAATTTCAACTGGCATGAATAGGACACTTCAGACTAGGATCAAAGGTAGTCAGGCACCTCTTATGCCTTATTTCCAAGTGTTTTTTTCTCCTATATCCCTTCAATCTACACTAAGGCTGTGTTTACACTGTGCCACTGTGAAATATGCATTATAACTCTTCTGTCAGCAGGAGAAAACTCTCCTGACAACAAAATAAAACCACCCGAAATGATGGTTAGTATTTTTGTTGGCAGGAGAACTTTTCCTGTCTACAAAGCATTGTTCACGCCAGTGCTTTTTGTTGGTAAAAGTTTTGCCATTCAGGATGTGTTTTTTCAAATCCTTGATCAACCAAAATTTTTATCAATACACTTCTGAGCTGTGCAACCTAGAAAACACAGCAAATATATTATCTGTTCTTTATGATACTTCTTCAAGCCCCCAGACCTTTTATACCCAGCACCACCACCCAGAGAAGATGCTCTGAACCAGGGGTGGGCAAAAGGGTCTCTGTGGCCCACCAAGAGAGTTGATCCAGCCTGTGGAGGTCCTGCTGCTCCCCCTGTCCCCAGGTCAACCAGGGCCCCGGGGTGGGGAACACACAAAGTCTCCTCCCACCCTGCGAGGGGGCGGTGCGTCTAAGGGTGAGAGATTTTCCATGCTTCCACCCCCCCACACCTAATCAGGGAAGAATGATTTAAGTCTCCACCACCCTGCAAGGGGCTCAGCACTTAAAATCAACCACCAGGTGCTGCTCAGCTGGTGGTTGACTAAGTGCAGAGCTCCCTGGCAGGGTGAGGGCAGGGAACAAAAGACTTCATGTGCTCCCCCTCCCCCAGGCCCTGATTGACCTGGGGACAGCATTCCCAGTCTCCTCTCACTGCCAGGGGCATCTGCACCTCGCAGGAACTGCCAGCTGTTCCCCCAACCCAAACAGGAACTGTGGGTGGGTAAGCACAGCAGTATCCTGGCCCCGCCCCTTCTGCCTGAAACCCTGACACTCCCCGGGGCCACTTCAAAAATTTCGGAAGTGCCCCCCCCCCC